CATAAGTTAACATAAGTTAACATAAGCTAACATAAGTTAACTAAAAGGTTAGCTTAAGTTAGTAACTTCTATATCTCCCTACCAACTTTCTAATAACTTCCCCCAAGTTAGCAGGGACATACTACATGGATAACCAAGATGTAAGGGGGTTATAAGGGGGTTACTAACATCTATAACTTAACTTAGACCCAACGCACAATCTTAGTATGTATATGTATATCTCCCTCTACGTACCTACGTACCTAGCGTTCTATCGATCTATCTACCTATCTATCTACCCTGCATGCATGCAGACATATGGGCTTTGCTTTCGGGGTTTTATGGTTGCAACTTCTGCCCACCTCTCGAGGACAGGTAGGCGTGGCAGTCAACGCATTTTGCACCGCAGCCACACCTCTCCACATGAGCCGTGTCAACTGCACCTTGTTAGAGTTTCTACTTTACATGGTAGGGTATAGGCTAGGGCTCACACTCCCACGTCCAAGCAGTCAAGCAGACCGAGCAAAATGTTGATGATGCCGACGTTGTTTCTTGATTCCACCAGTGATGGAGTTTAAAAGTGTCTAAGGGCCAACGGCCCCGAATTTGTACCCTAAACCCTAAACCCTAAACCCTAATTTTAGTGTCTAAAGGCCAACGGCCCCGAATTTGCTGCCAAGGAGCCAGTCGGATTCGCAGCATGCGCAGGGCGACTCGGCCATGGCCGGAGAGGACATCAGGCTCAACCTGGAGCATGTGGGGAGTTCCGAAAATAGGGGGCCCTTATATAGGGTTTAGGGTTTAGGGTTTAGGGTTTAGTACCCCAAATAAAAGGATGCCTATTATAAGGACCCCCAAATAAGGTACCCTAATTTTCTGAAACTCCCATGTGGAGTTGTCCCGGAAACATCGAAGCTCAAGGCGAGCATCTCAGCAACGAAAGAGGGAAAAGAAGAGTTCGGAGAGCGCTCTGAAAAGCGACCCACCACTTCGGGCTGCCAAGTGACAAGGAGCTGCCTCAGAGAACAAAACAACATCTGGGGCGGCGTCTGTGTGGCAGGTTGGGCTTCACGACTTCTCCGTCAGCGGAGAGTAAACAAAACAACAAAAACAGGCCACACGCTGGTGCAGAGCCGCTTCTGTTTCTTGCTTTTCAGCTGGCTTTCGCCTCACCGGTCAACATTGGTTACGACATGGATCCAAGCAACCAAGCAGGCTGCGCCGCGAGTATTCGGAAGCCAAAACATCGGTGACTTCAGTCCTGAAGGCACCCCCCAACATGCACAGGGTAGCTCGCAAATGACCTCGCTTCCGACAGTCCCTACTCTTGGGTGCGCAGGAAAACATACTGTAAATACATGTGTTTCCTACATACCTCCATTCCTACACCGTGCAGGCAGGCAGTGAGGCAAGTAGGCAGGCAGACAGGCAGGCAGACAGTGAGACAAGTAGGCAGGCAGGCAGGCAGGCAGGCAGACAGACACGCAGACACACAGACAGACATTGTATGCATACGTACATACATGCATGTGTATAGCATGTGTACCCACATGTTGAGCTTGCTTGGTATGCGAAATGGTACCTATCATGAGAAAACGACTAGCAGTGCAGTAATTAGCGATTGCACTGGCAGCCAGCAACGTCTTTGGAATTACTGCAAGTCCTAGCTGCAGCCGAGCAGCAGCCTTGACGACACAGGAAGCAACCAGGTGGGAGCAGCTCGCCCGCTCCAGAACTGACATCAGGTCGTAAGCCAGACTTGAAATCCGCTCTCTCTCGTGCGCATGTGAAAAAAAAAGAAAAAAGCCCCCACACACACACACACACCCGAAACCTACTGGTAGTTCCTTTGTCTCAAGGCCCAGGCGCGATCAGCAACGTAGCCAAAACCATGAGGGAAGCTCTTCCTGGCACCGAGGTAACTTCCCCAAGGAGCAGAGATGGGATTCCCGACCCTGCCCCACAATGAGGCCCCATGGGACCGATGCAAAAGTCTGCTTGTGATCGCGATACAGTGCTGCCAGCCCCCTGAGAAGGACAAATCCGTCCAGCAGGAGGAGACAAGATTTGCGGCCTGGTAGATGGACTGCATGTCTTGCAGCATCACGATTGTGCAGGTGCACCGGTCGATGCCGGCCCATGCTCTTCGAACACCATGCAATTGAATTGCAGACCACAAGAGCGCTGCAGCGCACCGTGATGTCTTTGAGTAAGTCGCTCTGTCGCCGCTCTGTCATGCGCGATCGCCAAATCGTCTGCATGACAAAGGCTACAGTATGCCATGTTCACTTGAATGCGAGGCAGAGACCGGAGCCAGAATGAACGGAAGTGAGTCAACGAGGCGAGAATGCACTTGAAGCTTCATTCAAGATGAGGCGTGTTGCTTCTCCTCCCGGTACCTGCTTTCCTGCTCCAATAGAGTTCAACATCAACTTCGGAATCTGCAATGGGCAAAAGCAGAAAGTGCCATCGGAACCCGCCCCCCGTTGCTGAGGCCCTCACCACACGTCAAAAGCCTGGCAAGCCCGTAGAAGAGCATGCACAGGCACAGCTGTGTAACTGTCAAAATCATGGCCCCTGTGGGGGAGCCCACTGTAATTCTATGCTTCATGCCCTAGAGGTTGGGAACCCAAAAGAGACCCTAATCTGGCAAGGAGCAGCTCATGCAAGGTCCAGTGCAGCTTGTCAGAAGACCGTGACTGGACAGCCAACTAGGAGGCGGCCCTTGAATTGGCTGCCGACCGTAAGTACCCTCACACCAGACAACAACCCCAAGCTCCGACAAAGTGAGCTTTCGTGCTACTATTCGTAGGGACTGTAAGGACTGTGAGGCTCTGCATAGAAGACATACTGCTGCGGAGTATATTAGAAGGATTATGAAGCAAGCCGCCAGGCGACTCCGAGTCACACGCATTTCCCATGACATTGGCAGCTCTAGGCCACCAAGGGCCGTACCGTGCACGGTACAACAGAAGACAAGTTCGAAAGGTTCCCCGAACCCGCGGCACCAAGCGGACTAAGGAAGGACATCCTTCTTTCACAACCTTCAGAGGCTCCGGCTCCGGCTCGTATTTTCGAGCAGTTGCATACTATCCTTCTTCTCTGACTTGCGAGAACCCGGGATATGCATGGCATGGATCGGCATGGTCGAAAAGCATCGCGAGGGTTGCGTAGTTGACCGTGAGCTTGATCAACGCAACGCTTACCTGGGAATCATCCAAGGGAAGTAGGTTGAGGCTTCAACAGGACACCTGACAAAGGCGACGGTCACCGCAGTAAGGGCTGCAATATGCCGCAATAGTAACGCTGGACTGCACCCCAACGGCATGTGCCAACTCGTCCAAAAATCCGAGCTTTAATTTCGCAACTCTCCTCCGTTCCGTTCGTATTGTGTGGCTGAGTTTCATGATAAACACGCACTCACGAGTTCTATTTACAGTAAAAAACAAGACACGCAAGACTCTCTTCACTTCAGGACACACGAGCTCCTGTCACACCTCAATACGTTCACTTCGTTCATTTCCGTTTCATTTAACGGCTTCATGCTTCCGTTCCGTTCCGTTCACGGAACGGAACGAAGCACGGGTGAGCCTATCCAAACTCCGGGCGAGATGCCGTCGGTGGGAATCGTGCTGGGTTACACCTCAGTAGACATGAGAAATTCACAACATTGCACGACATTACTTGCCTTCCAGAACTCCGAAGGCACTTTGTGCTGGAAGCGGTTCGATTGCATCCTTGCTCTCAGCGCGTGGCGCAGTAACAAAGTAGTTCACTTGTCCTTGGGTGGGCTCCTCGACAGAAGACATGGCACCTCTCACGTCAACAACGGGCCAGGCACATCAAGCTCTACCACATGGGGTTTCAGAAAATAGGGGACCCTAATATAGTACCCTAAATAGTAGGATCCTTATTATAAGGACCCCAAAATAAAGTACCCCTGACTTCGGAAACTCCCACATCACAGTCAAGGAGTACTGGCGCGGGATCGCTGTCCTGAGGCCGGCCATGCACCAAGCCTTTCGAAGGGAGTAGGGTCAGAGGCTTTGAATGAAGTGGTGCTTGTGGCGAAGTGCTGCTCTTCAGAGGGCTGCTGCTCGCCTGGCTAATCTTTGTACGAGTAGCACGAGCATTCAGGAAATAACTTGTGGTTTGTGCCGAGTGCCTTAACTTTAAGGCTGTGCGTGATTTGCCCTCAACGAGCATTGGGTGATTCCAAACTACGACATTTGCAGGGAGTAGGAATCAAGCCACACTGGCCGACTAAGACTGAGCAACAGAAGGGTGCCATCGCTTCCCTGCAGTTGAGTCCAGAAGGTATGGAGATGCCGGACCAACCTGTGCGTCAGAGGCGCGAAACTTTTTCCAATTCAATCGCCTTCAAACGTTGATCCGCCGCCGCCTCGTGGAACAGCAGACACAGGTCTGCGAGACACGGCTACATGCGAGTTACCACAGCTCGCCCGAGGTGACACAGCTCGCCATGTCACTTAGCAAAGCGCCTCCGGATGGCTGTGCGGTGGCAGATTCGCTTGCGCCGGACAGTGCGCGCTGTACAGCATGCAGTGACCGCATACGGCTCCGCCGTGGGTAAACACGGAAGATTCGCCTGCAGAAGCTCGGCGTGACCATCGATGGGGGCTATGTCGATGGAAAGGCCCAGGCTTCCCGCTCATTTGGGGACATTGAAAGCAAGACTGGCGCCAAGATCAACGGCCTGATTTGCAAGCCGGAGGTCACAGTCGTGGCGGTGAAAGAGAGCACTGAGTTCGTGGTTGAACCACGAAATCCGTGCTTTCTTTCACTGCAGCAATTGCGATCTCCGGCTTGAGAATCAGGCCATTGATATTGGCACCACTCTTGAATTCAATGTCCCCAAATGCGTTCCGTCCACATAGCCGCCCGGAGCTTCTGTAGGTGATGCCTCTCTTCCACATTCTTCTCAGGGGAATGCTCCTGGTTCAGACCTTGGCACCGTCGCAGATCACCGCCGGGCAGTCGCCTAAGTTCACAAACACGGGCTTCCTGCCCTGCACGAGGGCAATGCTCCCCACAGTTCCCGAAGCTGTCCCGCGCCCCATCCGTGAGATCCATCTTCATGAGCTCATCTACGGTCAGCAAAGCATCATTCAATGCTTCCTCCGTGCTGCCGTCTTGCTGTAAATGATGGTCAAGTCGTCAGGTGTACTTTCGCTGGGTCCGCTGGGTGTGTCGCCTTGTCTCCTCCATGGCCGTCAAAGACAGCATAGCAGCGACATCCACCGATATTGTCGGAGATAGCTACCCCGTCTTCCATACGCTGACGATCATTCCCCACCATCGCGTGGCCATGTTGGGCATCACCGCAGGTGGCATAGTCCGGAGCAAAGCACCTCCTTCTCCCGGACACCGCAGCCGCTGATATTGCCCATGGCATGCGATCGCAGTTTTCAAACTCCGTGATTCAGCAACGCAGCTGCACAGACTGTAAGGAGAACCAGATCGATATAATCTCCGAGGCTGCACAAAACAAAAGCCCGAGTCTTCTTCGTGTATCGACACGCAGAACACACCTGGTTAGTAAGTATGTCTCGAACTGCTCCGTACCAAGCCAGACACAAGCCGCATCAAACACGGGCACGGAGCGTCGTCACAGTAGCAGTAGCAGCAGGAGTAAGAGGAGGAGGAGGAGTGGTAGTCGTCATCGCAGGAGCAGCAGTAGCAGCAGCAGTAGCAGTGCGCCATGAATGATTTACCAAGGCTTCCCTGCCAAAGACTACCGCTCCTGGTTCCGCATCCTGAGACCCAAAGTCGCCTGATCGCTCGTCCAGCGTCACTCCAAGCGGAAGCCGTGGAGCAGCCTCGGCACGCACGCCACCTCCGATTCTTCGGGTCAGGGTCTACGTGTCTGCAACCAGAACCTGCAGAGAGCAAGAGCAGCACTGCCCGCCGGGCACCCCTCCCCGATCAGACATCAGCTGACTCAGCTCCGGGCTGCAAAGAGGCAGCCTCGCAGGTGAGATACCTGTGAGCTGGTTAGCTAAAGCTCACAAAGGCTCCCTGACATGAGGCCCTCCAGCTGGCTGCGCATTTTCGTCCTTGACAAAACACTCCTGCTGCTTGAACTCTCGTCAGGGTCTTGGACCCTGGGCCACAATCACTTTGCAGATCAACGGATGACTGACACCTTTGCATAGAAGGCAGCGGACTCAGACTTAACTGTTGCTAGTCCTCATCGCATACCTGACCACTGTCATACCCACGACAAGCTCCCACAGCACCGGTAAAGGCTCATGCCCAGAGCAAACTCGGGGGCACCGGCGGCCACAACTCCACCATCTGCCCAACGAAAACCTCGAGGCTGTTGGGCTTGTACCTGGCGCCACTTTACTTCAAGGTTACTATAACGAGGTTACTTCGAGTAAAGCAGTATAGAGTTACCATTCATCGAGTTGCTAGAGACAAAGGGAAGAATCAGCCCACTGCGATTGCTGCAGAATTGACACTTCGAGATCGACTCTGCAGGAGTGCTTCGCAGAAGATCTGCCCCCCCCGACCCCATCGCAAGACTGAAACTTCAGAGGCCCGGGCTCGAAGAAGTCCATGGAAGTCTCAGGGCACAGCGGTACACGCGTTCGCGACGTGGCTTAGGGAAGGCAAGTTGGTTTCACATAGAACCCGCGAGGGGAGGTGACGAACAGCCCCGGCGCAGCAGTTTCGCTTCCCTTTCTGCAGTGGCACGCCACATCGTCACCGATATTTGCACTGTGATCTAGGCGGCAACATGAATTGGGGTGTTTTTGAGGCAGTCTCAAGATATAGAGAGAGAGAGAGANNAAAAAAAATCCGACCTGGAGTGGACAAGTCCGAAGGGCAGAGAGACGGAAAATGGGATTAGGGACAAATGCGTCTTAGGACTACCTGACAGCCAATCCCCGGCCTGGTTCAGAAGGGATTCGGGAAGGTGGTCCTGGACAACACGCGTCGTTCCAAGCTGTAAGAGTGCTGCAATCGTCTATCCAAGTCGTGCGACAGGCAGCCGTAAGATAAAATAACACATGATAAGGCGACTGTAGTGATCGTCTCTGTGCCCAAGTTCACGCTGTAGTAGTAGTTCCTCTTTTGATCCCAGAAGGGGCTGCGCAGCAACAGAACGATACCT